CAGACTATGTTTAATGGTATATAATGTCAGACTATGTTTAATAGTATATAATGTCAGACTATGTTAATGTCAGACTATGTTTAAATGACTATGTTTAATAGTATATAATATAATGTCAGACTATGTTTAATAGTATATAATGTCAGATAATGTTTAATGGTATATAATGTCAGACTATGTTTAATGGTATATAATGTCAGACTATGTTTAATGGTATATAATGTCAGACTATGTTTAATGGTATATAATGTCAGACTATGTTTAATGGTATATAATGTCAGACTATGTTTAATGGTATATAATGCCAGACTATGTTTAATGGTATATAATGTCAGACTATGTTTAATGGTATATAATGTCAGACTATGTGTAATGGAATATAATGTCAGACTATGTTTAATAGTAAATAATGTCAGACTATGTTTAATAGTATATAATGTCAGACTATGTTTAATAGTATATAATGTCAGACTATGTTAAATGGTATATAATGTAAGACTATGTTCAGTAGTACATAACGTCAGACTATGTTTAATGGTATATAATGTCAGACCTAAGTCTATTTTGCCTCAGCCAATGCCAGGTGTGCCTTCAGCTGTTTGTTACTGGAACCAGGTAGCTGCTGGCCCCGCAATTCGCTGTGTAGAATTGTGTCCCTTTGCTGTGCCAAAACCCTATGATGTTTGTCACCATTTCAAGATTTGCTCTTCGGGTTTTCCTTTCACGTAACACAGAAACAGTGATTTCTTTTTCAAAACAACAATGAATAAACCTCACATTATTTGCCGTGTTGTGTCGTCGACCTGCCCACTTTATGAATGCAGACTTTATTTAGATATTGTGAAATCGGCAACGTGTACTTTCGCAGATATGATTGGAATGCCATATACGCAGAATGCATATAGCTCGAATATGTTGGAGTACATTTAGTAAAGAAACTTCCTGTTGGTGTCAAGTAGGGCTAATCAAGGGTGAAATACAGTCCCGCTACTCATCGATTAAAATAGACGGAAAACTAAGCTAGATATGTCACGCTTTTCTACCACTGAAACAAGTCACTTAATCCACATTTTGTATGTACGTCTATATATCTATCCACACAATCAATAACCGCCGGTGATAATTACAGAGGACTTAAGTCACACAACAACACTAGACCCGGAGTACTATGTCTGTTAGAACGTAACTCTCGTACGCAAACCTAACTTTTCAAGCGTCACTTATTAAACGACAAGGAAGAAAGTAGAAATTAACACGTAACTTGTTGCTACATTTAATAGTGTTTACGTTAGTTTTATATTATATTTTCACTGGCTACATGCATACTCTGCCTAGCCCTTCCTGCAATGCTAAGGCACTAAATGATGCAAGTCTAGATTTCCTCAGGTCTGAATCTCCCATCTTCGCCTCCTTTTCACTTTAAATGGAATTTATTTGTTACTCTGAAACTATGCGCTAGTCTAGGAAAGCTCGTCTCGATGACTCATCGCTGACACAGTCCGGATCCATCTGGATAAACACTCGTGCTTCGTGTGGGGTTTTGTTTTGGTCTCCATACATTGTATTCACTAACAGTTTAGTCGCATATTATCACCGTCCATTGTTTTGATGGTCATTTGGTATGGGTGGTCAAGCTAATTTATGAATTGAAGATGTTATAGTGTCTTTGATTTCTCAAGCAGCAACAGGATCTTGTAGACTATGTGGACATTTCTACTGTGCTTATGGCTATGTTTAACACCTACAAATGGTGCCATATCTGGTTGTAAATGTATATATCTACCCGTGGGTGTCTCGTGATCACCTCTTTAGTTTGGTACCCACGTCTCCCCTAAGTGTGTATTAGTTTCCTGATCGTTTTTTTATACCTTTCTTTACAATACACAATTATGAATGTTCCCTGGGGGTACAGACGGGGTCCCAGCTAGCCAGTGCTGGTCGCTCACTCCGAGCGTGCCCCGTATTTAAAAAGCTTATCGTAAGGCATAATAGGTGAGGTGAAATGGGGTTTAACGTCGCACTTAAGAATATTTCGCTCATATGACGACGTACATTCGTTTGTATGTGTGGCTGTTTGTACTAGCCAAGACTTAAGCTGGTTTTATAGTGCTATCCCACTGAGATACTTCACTGGACGGTCAGGTCCAATCTCTGTTTTGCTATTAGTGAGTGAGTTTAGTTTTAGGCCGATTTTAGCAATATTCACAGCAATATCACAACAGGGGACAAAGTAGCTCGAATCAATTTGGCGATAGAATCACGATACCTCTTACTAACATCACTATTACACATTACTCGGGTTGACGTATGTCGACAGCATGTGCATGAGATGACACAGAGGCAGTAGTACAGTGAGTGAGTTTATTTTTACACAGCTTTTAGCAATATTACAGTAATATAACAGCAATATCACGACGGGTGACACCAGAAATAGGCTTCACACATTGTACCCATGTTGGGAATAGAACCCTGATCTTTGGCGTAACGAGCGAACGCGTTAACCACTAGGCTATCCCACCGCCCTCTTTCGCTATTAAATATGGACGGGACCATTTGGATCTTGCAATGACTTGTTTCTGAAATAAGGCCGTTTTGGATCGTGTACTGTCTTACCTTTGCTGTTACTGGGCTAAACGTATTGGCTAGTTATCAGTCGGTAACCAATTTTTCACAAATCAACTACCGTTTCATTGTTGTGTCGTGCCGAGGTTACTCGTTCTGGAACGAGGAGTATAAACACTCAGGTAATAATTGGTCATCAGATTTAACCTATGCATCTTGTTGATTGTCCTGTCAGAGAATGGTTGCAGCTATCTTTGGTTATAATACTGATGCTCAGCCAATCAGCTTGTATATTTGCTTAGAGGTTTGTAAACGGGCTTTGATCACTTTGATTATTTTGTCTTTAGTTATTGTTAGCTGCTACCGTGATGCACGTTTTCTAGTGTTACTTTATTCCTTGTCGATGACCCCTGGTCTTAGCCTCACAACATCTTGACCCCCATGCCTCTTTTCAGGTGTACACTGAAAACTAAGTGTCGGCATAGGCGACGCATAACGGTAGTATCTATGTCGTCTATATATATATTTATATATATATATATATATATATATATATATATATATATATATATATATATATATATATATATATACTTAAATAAAGTATGTGTTAAGTGTTAATGTGTACTATCATAATCAAACTTAATTAGCAAGTGTCGTAAGTGTAAGATTTGTCATCAGTGACACTTTGCTTTTCAAGCTGCTCTGCGATCGTAATCGCACTGTGGAACAATTAATGAATACAAACAGTTATATATTTTATCATTCTATAACCATTGCCCCATTGTCCTTCCTATTGACAGTGTACAGGTGTTGTAAATTGGGAGCCAAACCGTACTTCTGTGTGAGGAACAAACCTTTGTACCTCGAAGAACCTTTGTACTTCCTTATCTGTATTGATTCAACTGACACATAGAGGTCATTATAGAGCTGACAAAGTTACTACAATAAGATCAGCTGTAAAACATGGTATATGTTTCATGACCAGAATGCATAAGTACATTTTCAAACAAAATGTCAAACGAGCATTATTAGGGCTCCTTGCCTCTAGGCAGGAGACCTATTGTTATCGTTCGGATTATTATTATTATTTATTATTCCGCCGATTTTTGTACCAAACATAACTCCTAAGCCAATGCTCCGATTCACTTACAAAAAATCACACAGATGCGCACCGAGGTGTAGATATTCCCATTAAAAATCTCTAGGCTCTTGGCCCAATAGCAAAGGGGAGATAATTCAAAATTAATTCCAAAATTTCAACGTTTGACAGCAAATATCTCAAGGACTAATTGTTCCAACACTTCCAAATTTCTTGTACAGATGCACAATCGAATACCCAACAATTTTGCTTGGACGGGTCAAGTCGCTAAAACCTACCGTTTGGCAGTTATTTTTGTTTTCAGTTTTTCTGAGTAGTTTGCTCCCAAAATGTGCAAGTATGGCAGATGATGTCCTGGTGATTCCAGAACACTAATTGTTTTGAACGTAGACCCAAGAACAACTGAGATACAGCCTTTTAAAGAGGGAACTATTTCTTCTCCGGAACTACTTAAAAGGTCCATGACGTCCATGACCCCCGTGACCCCGGCTGTATTTGGAGGATCTGCTCGCCTGTCAAAACATGTGTTCTGGCTCCGTTTTGGACCATGATATCTAGCCCTCAGATACAATAGATAGATAGATAGAAAGTAAAGCCAAGGAGACCTCATCGTTGCCCGCAACTATATTTCCATTTAATTTCGGCAAGCATCTTTGTTTCTCTTCGTTTCTGTTACTGTTAATACTGGACGTAACCGAATCATAAATAAATTGTTTTCTCAATCTCCATCCAAACAGAGCAGTACATTTAAGAAGAGTCAGCTCCACATTTGATGCAATTAACACCTAAACCAGGGACACAATGAGCCAACACAACTCAACAAGCAACACATCAACAAGAGACTGCCTTTTTGTAGCACCGCAGTGTAAATTAGTAAGTGTTAACATGTTTTATTGAAAACGTGATCAGAAAATGTTTGCGTTTCACATCACACATATATCTTTTAATGACAAGAATGAATGTATTAATTTAAACCAGATTTATTTGTAAATTAAAGAGTCAATTACCTACCCTTTAAACAAATGTCAGGCGATTGTGTCAGTATTTGGTATTGACGATGTGCTTACCACAGCAAGGGCTTGAACTTCCACGACAGTATTAACAGCCCAGCCAAAGGACGAACGTAAATATGGGAGTGAGTGAGTGAGTACTGTTTTACGCGGCTTATTCCATCAATGTCACAGTGTGGTGCACCACAAATGGGCTACACACATGATTGTACCCATGTGTGGGATCGAATCTCCAGGTCTACAGGATGACGAGCGGACGCTTTAACTATTAGGCTACACCACCGCCCCGTAAATATTGGAAACTCTGACACAAAATAGATTCTTAATTTCATACTGGATGCAATTTATTTCACTCAAATGTACATGTAATGTATTGTGCACGTTATACAAAAGCAAACTGATAGTACAATATATGTAAATATAATATATTATATAAATTGAAACACTCCCTGAAAACTGTAAACAGTAGATGTGCATTGTGAAAGACAGTGTTCATTCAGAAATTCGGCCTTGTTTTCCGGAGTGCAAGTGATAATGAAATATAGTTGCATTCAAGTGTATTACACGATACTTGCTAAAGTCACAACGAGTAAATTCTTGACAAGTACAGATTTCTACTACGGGTTTCACATCAAATTATTTAAGGTAACTGGATATATCTGGTGATTCACGTCCATATTTTCTAAATGTATGGGTCTATGGGTTGATAGCAGATTAACAGGATAGCAAACTCGTATTCAATACCAAGATTCACCAAGACCAAGATTGACAATATGCACACAGAATATATGAACAGCGTATGTCTTTGTTCTTTGTAATATAGTCTTGTTGTTTTTGTTGTTGTTTTTACAGAATATAACTACAGAGATTCTAAATTCGGAAAAACGTTCGGAGAACAATGTATGACCTTTATGCACACACGACTAGCGAGTATATGAGTTACCAGCTGTTCCGAATAGTAAATGACATTGATAACATTTGGTACAAGCATACTGTGGTCATCTCTAAATGGTTGCAAGCATTGAGCATATACATAATATGATGATAAGAAACAGTTAAAGGCGTTGAGAAAATTAATTACTGTTGATGAAAAACATCAGATGTTAGGAGAAGGTTTCTCAATGGGATAAAATAGCTATCCGTAGTGGTTACTTAGAGATGCATTTGCAAATTAAAACGTTAAGTGAGGTACTTACAGTGTTTACAAACATGGCATTGCCCTTGTCTAACTCTGAAGTAGGCGTTGCCTATCGGGATTGTAGACAAGCTACTAATCTTAGAATAGCTAATTAATAGAATAGTTAACAATAAAAGGGCGTTACTCAAGATATAAGGAACGAATCCAATAATAACGGTAGCATACCAGTTTCCATTCCGGCCTAGATCTGGGGCGGTGTGGTAGCTTAGTGGTGAACGACTCCGCTCACCACGCGGAAGGCTAAAGTTCAATTTCCTACACGAGTACAAAGGCCATTTGTGGTGTTCCTCGACGGATTTTGGAGGAATAATGCTGAGTAAAGGCACGCTCACCTACCGAAACGATGTCTCGGGATTGGGACGAATTTGAAATAGTTGTATTTCTATAGTTGTGATTGCATTCTTGAGTTTCAAGACTTTTCCGGGGCAGAATATTTCATTGAAATGTATCGATCTATATACGACGACACATCTCTATAAACTTTCCACACCGCTCCCTAAGGAAATGCCTTCCAAACTCGTTTCATTTGGAGCTGTACAACCCATTGTCACTAACACATTGTCACTGTCCGATTACCCAAAACAAATAGCTTGTGGCATAGCATATTAATGCGTTGTGATAGAATCACGTTAACACATGAAACTCATCTATATGCCTTGGTTGAGTTGACGCGTGTCGACAGCATGTATATGAGATGACACAGAGGCTACCAGTAGAAAAAGAACTGCTTATCAAAGATGAATGCCGGTTCCTGGAACCTCTATGGGTGCTAGACGCCGTGCCTTGGGCGGAATGACGGAAACCGGGGCAGTGCTGCCCATGTTTGCTCTTGTTATACCAAGAGCATCAGCAAACTCAGAATCCAGAACATCGCCGCCTTGGTTGCCAACTTTCACCTGCAATTACAGCATTAGCATGGAGATAATGTAAAAAGTGTCATTACCGAGTAAATAGTTAATATAAAGCCGTATTAAAATTCTGAAACATTTCACATGGAAGAATGGATAGTAAACCAAGCGCTTCTTGAAAGAGTAGACATTGAAAAATTGTAGTTTAACCCCCGGATTCTGAAGTTATAAGTTTTAATCGACATTACGACGTAGAAGCTGATTGTGCATTCCCCCCACCCCACCCCTGTATCCAGATTTCGTGTTTGTGTGAGGAAAGTGTTGTCCTTCAAGAAGCTTTACCATTTTAAATATGCACAAGTATTATACTTACACGCTGGTGTTTCTTTTTATGCAGAAAACACACGAGTATGAGAAGTAGTAGGAAGGACACTACGACGCCTACACCAATACCTGCTGCCTCGGCCAGACTCATACCACCTGTCGGGGAAGAGGCATATCTTTGAAGGAATTGTAAAAGCTAGGAGCAATAAATACTCAGATAAATTTAGATGAACCAGTGAAATGAGACTGAACGGTACTTCACATAACTTATCAAGTATGATTCACTGTTACACAGTATTTAATGAATTGTAAATAACAAACGTGCACATTACGCATCAGTATCATGTGTGTTATTCCTTGCGTTTGTAGAGACACAGCCACTATAACACAAAAGCATACCGCGTGGTGACGAAATCAGTAATGTAGTTGTGTCTAAATGAGATGGCGCATTCGGCTGAATGGAACCAGATGCTCGAGCAGTTGTTGAAGAGGATACACATCGTAACTCTAAGTTTGCTAGGCTGTTTGTCGCTGTAAGGAAGTAAAGATTGCATTTAGAACATACTTGGGGACTAGCATCCGTTTGCCTTTTCAGAAATGTGTTAACATGGGTCTGATCCCAATCCTTCTGAAATCTCCCCCACCTGCCCCCATTACGTATCTCAGTACCGGGTCATCCATGTGTACTGTTCCAAGCGGCGTGAACGTAAAACCCACTCATTCTCCCTAGCACCCAACTACACCGTAACTTCTTTGAGTGGCATTTTAGAAGTTGGGAAGTACAATATAGAACAAACTTTATGGATAACAACTTCTTTTTATTTGTGAGTGCGACGTTTCGATACAGATTCTTGTACCGTTGTCAAGCATTATGCATTTAATTCTTTAACATTCGACACATATTCGGGGGCCATTCCAAGAAGGTTCTGAATGCATTCTATATAAATTCGTGCAGCATTCGAGGTACGTTCCAACTGAAATTCGAGTGCTATTCACGCAGCAATCGAACCGGACTCGTACTGCAGTCGAAATTAATTTTAAGTATTCTTAGTGCATTCTAACGGCGTTCTAGTTATTCCTACTGTATTCCGAGTCATTCGAACTGCATTCGTGATCTAGCACATTTAGAATGAGTACGAATAATTCGAGGCGGGTTCGAAGTGCGTTTTAAGTATTCCAACAGCATTCTTACAAAGCTTGAAAAAAATGTTTATTTAGACATTCTCTCCCGAATCCGGTTCGAATTTTGGAAATATTTTTTTTCTTGCTGATTCTCCTTGATTCCTGTCAATTCGAAATAATTCGTTTCGATACAGATTCTTGTACTGTTGTCAAGCATAATGCTTGACAACAGTACAAGAATCTGTATCGAAACGTCGCACTCACGAATAAAAAGAAGTTGTTATCCATAAAGTTTGTTCTATATTGTACTACACCGTAAACAAATATTGAAAGCAGAATTTTATGTAAACGCATTCCCAATCTAACACTAGCTCATCAACTGTCAAGACCAGGGAAACATATCACTGCATGCATGTTCTGTTGTCATGGCTCCAAATTCTGGATATATGTTAACATTTAACATTCAGTTTGTCGCATTTACAACGTACATAACAGATGCAGTTTGTTCATTACCTGCAAACTGAATCCATAACCGCCCAGAGGCAGTGAGCTCAGATGTCCAGTTAAGACTGATTACATGATTCCTACTTGTGTAAAGAGTACCAGAACTGTAGTTGGTGTTGTTTCTACAATCAATTCTTTCACGAAAACTACCATCCAGTATGTCAATGTACTGCTGACAGGTAATATTCAGATGTAGCAATGACACAGCTATTGATGAATTGTGTGACGCAGTGACGCTGCACATCGCAGCACTGGCATTTAGTCCTGATGTCGGATAGCCCTTATTCCAGATTGAAACTACCGTCTCGTTGGCGCTGTGGTTTGACGGAATGTCTACAATGCCACTGGCTGCAATACAATAATGATACAGTTTCATTAATTTCTCTTTCCAACATGTAACCTCATCCTAGTGAGTGGGTGAGTCTTGTTTAATGTATGTTTGTTCACTCGCATCACTGTTAACACATGGTATGGTAGGCCATGCAATCTCCAAGGAGTTCGCATGTTTCCCTGGACAAGCCTCGTGGTATCGGCAGTATTATAACATTAACAGTACATTTATGTCACCACACCACATACGATATTCCTGTGTCCGGAATCGAATCTAGCGGAAGAGCTCTAGAAGCGAACTCTGGCCGTAATAATATACATATCAAACGTGTAGCGATTATATTTGAAAGTACATTCACCAAATGTACGTCATTTGTACTTCTGTAATGAACTAGCAAAATAATCATCGTCGTCATATTTACCTTCCACACAGTGATACTCAAATGTAATGTAGTTTGAAGAAGCCCGTTTCCAAGTTCTCAAACCACATATTATATCCTGGAGTGCAACCTCCTTGTCGCACATAGGTCTCCCAGAACAAAGCTCGTGGTAATTGTTAACATTTTCACCGATTAAGTTCATCTTGCAGTCATGAACATCCATATCTGCTTCACAGCAAGTCGGTGTGTCTTTAACTTGAACACCGGGAGAACAGTCTGTAGACAATGCAATAACGTATATGTTATCCAGGGCGATTCTGCTGTCGGTTCCGCAGGACAGATGGAACCTATTGCCAGAACCATAGCATTCGCCGGAATGAAGTGAGTCTGAAATGTATTACAAATATTTGGGTTTATTTCGCAAGAACATAATATGTTTCCTACAGAACAATGTCTAATTTGTCAGTGGAATTGTGACCACAGTACTATTGTCATTTCTCTATTAATGAGTATGAAAATTAATGAAAATTATGAGTAATGCTTATGTCTGTCCATTCCTTTAACGAAGTATTTCTATGCCTTAAAGGGTTTCTAGTGGTGAGTTAATGCGACTTAATAATCTCGAAATGGTCACTTCCAGAAGGAACTACTTGTGCTAAACCTAATATATTCAAAATTAATGTACATAGCTGATAATGAGTAACAGTAGAACATACCTGCATTATGTAAGTATGCACACCAGGCCACCAGCTCACACAGGAAAATAACACGTACATTCATTATCAAGTATACGTAGAGCCGAAACCTCACATCTTTAACAAGGGTAATGTGGAACTACGTTATAGGCACAGGAAGTCAACCTGATGTATTAGTCCGTGTGCCGTAAATAATGTGCGAGACAGTCGCAGGTATAAGTTTATAAATTGATTCCTGATAAGCTGCTGGTGACATGCTCCTGGTCCCTTGGGTCACCTGTACCGGAGGGTTAGAGTACTATATATAACACTGACAGTGTCACGATTTTCCCGAATGTAGCTGGTATTTACTCTTACAGGTGTACAAGTAGGCATTAGTCATCTCCTGTGATCCAGGGATAATATGTGGTCAGAGGCGCGTGATCGCAATCCAGTGGACGTGTTCACATGGTATGTGTGCCATCATCGAATGATTCGATCTCATTCTCCCCAGATTCGTTCTCCGAGCTGATTGTTAGTTTGAACCAAGAAGCGTCAATACAAGGTTTTTGTCCTTAGTCTCATCTTCTTTGGTGACATGGCTGTGGTGGCGCGCATTAACACTTACCTGGAAACATAAATCTCCATGGTTACCAGGTGATCTGGCCAGTCATCAGTCATGTTGTCTGACGATTTTGACATTCCTGGTCTAAAGCTGGATGATCTAAAATTTTCCTCATTCAAAGTTTGCATAGGCCGTTTCATCGTGAGTTTTTTCTGAGACATTTCTGGTTATTTACTCTCAAATAAGAGATGTGTTGAATAGTTAAATCAGTGAAAACAGTTCATACACTGACCCAGTTTCATCTGTCTTCATACATGGCCGTGTGGCGTAGCGACAAACGCCTTCAGATTCTGACACATTGTGGTAGTTGTTGTGGGCGCCTTTAGTAATACCCCCTTCACACTTGAGGCGGAATGAGCCGGAATTCCGTCGGAATGAAAATTCCTGGAGATTCCTCGAAATTCGAACTGCATTCTAAAACTTCTTACTCCACGCCGAATGCACTCCAACTATTCGTGTCCATTCTTGTAATATGCCCGAATGTTTTGAACATGTTCAAAACTTTAGAGGTACATTCGTAGTGGAAAAATATCGAACAGCAGTTGAAGTGCGTTCTAACTGCATTCTCAGTATTCTTACCACATTCTAACTGCATTCTAAGTATTCTGAACGTATTCGATGGAGAATTCCGGCAGCATTCTTGATGCATACCGGACATTCGTGTTACATTCTAAGTGCATTTGAAGGACATTTGAAATATTCGATCTGCATTCTGTTTTAATTCTTTAACATTCGACACATATTCGGGGGCCATTCCAAGAAGGTTCTGAATGCAATCTATGTAAATTCGTGCAGCATTCGAGGTACGTTCAAACTGAAATTCGGGTGCTATTCACGCAGCAATCGAACCGGACTCGTACTGCAGTCGAAATTCATTTTAAGTATTCTTAGTGTATTCTAAATGCGTTCTAGTTATTCCTACTGTATTCCGAGTCATTCGAACTGCATTCGTGATCTAGCACATTTCTGGCTGATTCTCCTTGATTCCTGTCAATTCGAAATAAGTGTGAAGGACCCTCCCTTAACGGACATACTTCCGAGAACAGAGAAGGGAAAAGGACAAAGATCTAGTGACCGAGCTATTTTACAAAGACTCAAACAAAACAATTACGTTTGACGAAATGTAGGCTTCAAACAACAACGATTTCAGTCAGTCGTTATTCTCTTGTTCGAATTTATAAGGAGTTTTTGTTTTATTCCCACTGCTCTGTGTACATAATACCCATCTCCACTCCACTCTAGGCACACCCAGTCTATTCAGCTGTTTAAAAACTCCAGCTCACACTTGTATCTTTAGTGTGCACTACACGTGTTTGATGACGGCGCTAATAATTGTTACAGAGAAGTTCCTCCATACTTGGTAAAACATGTTGACAAATCATGTCCCCACAACCCATGCTCCACTATACTGCTTCAGCTGCGTGATAGCCATGTGCATGGAATAAGCAGTCGATATAGAAATGTCTGTGTGATTTCTTGGACAATGTCCAATGCAGGTGTAGGCTGGAGGTGAGTAAGGGAGGGAGCATACCCCATTGTTACATTGTAACTGGGGAAAACATGTGCCTGCAAATATGTAATAAGTCGGATCAACGTCACCATTGCCCTGCAGGCTGACTGTTGTTGATCAGTTGCTACCAGCAGTTAACAACCTTAATATGTTCATTTGTGTTGTAAGCCTATTGCACAAGTAAAACTCAATTACTTGTGAACCTGCACTGTAAAGAATTATGACCAAGACAATATTTCCACATTAGCATATGGCAGTACTTTGAACTTTTAGTTACTTGAACCATGTAGCCCTAGGTTTCGTCCCTTGCTTGTTCCAGAATTCAATGATAGTTTAGCTCCGTTTCATGATTTGCCATCAGTTCGGGTTTCCCATTCACGTAACACTGAAACAGATATATGTGGAATGTTCTTTCAAAACTGCCATATATACAATTGACTGTATTTGTCAAATTTCGCCCTCGACTTGTCATTTTATGCATGCTTTGTGTTATTCGGGTTAAGAATATCTCTCATTGTCAAATGTGCACTATCCAATTGTACGCAAGAAAGATGATTGTCTGTCTACATGCCCCCTACATAGGTACATATACTCCTTACCTTAGTACATTTTTAAAGTTGTGAAAGAAATTACGGTGTCGAGCGGGACAATTCAGTTGCTGAAAACATTCCCCGAGTTTCTATAACTGAAAGAGACGGAGAACTATACCAGCAAACGTCAAAGGAACTACATCACACTACAACACTAAACAGTAGTAAACATGCATTAATGTCTCTTTTTCTGACGTATACTCTCACACAAAATGCCAACTGTACAAGCGTCTCTTATAATGCGTCTGGGAGGTAGGTATAAATGATCTCGTAACTATAACATAACATCTCTTATAATGCGTCAAGGAGGAAGGTTTTAATGATCTCGTAACTATAACATAACATATTATGGTGGTTCCCTGATTTTGAGTATGTATATTCGCCTCAGAGAAGACAGTATCAGTATCCACTGTTACCAGGTCGTAAAACAAGGATCTTCACGGTCAAGTAACCGTTACGCCTTTCTCGCTCATCGCTGACAGCTCGGCCCCCATCAGGAAATCTTTAGGGCTTCATGATGTATTTTGGTGTTCGTAACAGTTTTACTTATGTCCTATGTGTGTGCAAGCTTATTCATGTATTGAAGACACAGCAGCAGGACTATCTGGTACTGTTAGATATTTCTATTGTATTTATACACTGTTACTGTCCGTGTCGTTACTGGGTGGTCAGGTATAATCTCTGTTTCGCAGATAAGTATCGAGGGGTCTTTTTAATCTTGTACTGACTTACTTCTGCTGTTTCTGAGCTCATCGTATTGGCTAGTAATAACCAGTGATCACTGGATAGGTCATGCTCAGGAACCTTTTTATTGTCGCTAGTCAATTTACTCTTCAGCTCAAGAGCATGTGTGCTGTAAAAACGTTATTTGTTCCGTCAAAGTTCTTTTTTCCGTAATACTTGGGTTTCCTTTAGTTGTATACTCCTGACTCAAATAATCCAAAAGATTATGGGCAGGCTGTCAGTACCTGTATTTGTTTCTCCTTAATTACCCGCGCTGAGGTTACTCGCTCTACAAATTAGTAATAAGTGGACCCAGCCGACTGGCTATATATATGGCAAACAATGTACTGTAAATAACGTGGCTACCTATGTAGAAATGTAGGATTCAACTCTGGAGGAAATAAAATAGATAATTTATTCACTCACTGGTCCAAGCTAACTTATATGGCTGTCAATGCATCTTGTCGATTGTCCTGTCAGAGAACGCTTGTAGCCGTCTTTCGTAATAGCGGCTACACCTCCTATTGCTCACTGTTAGCTATAATCAAACTGTGAACCTTTACCACTTTTTCTAGTGTTACTTTATTCGTGTTTAATGACACCTTGGTCTTAGCAACGCAACGCTTTGGACCCCCTGCCTCTCAGAACATGTCGTGAGTTCTTAGGACTACATAACATGAAACACGGTGATATTAATTTGTTAATAACATCGATTACTTGCAATTGCTCCCCCAGCCCGTACCCTCTCTACAGAATCAGAAGTAGGGGTATTGTAAACAACCAACAGCGGTTAGTGACACCTCTGGCAACACACGTCCTGATTGTTAGGCACGAGTCTTTGTTGTGCAGTGTTGGATGTTTTGTGCATTGGACGTTTGGTCGTCAAAAGCTGGGTTTGTAATTATACACAAAAAGAAATATAGATATGTATATAAACAGTTATCTTTGATCATTTTATAACCATTGCTGCATTGTCCTTCTTATTGACCATGTACACGTGTTGTAATATATGACTGTGCACAATCTTACTTCTGTGCAAGGAACAAACATCTGTACCTCCAGGAAATTCTTCCTTATCTGTATTGATTCGATTGACCCATGGATGTTATTACAGAGCTGACAAAGTTACAACGAGAAGTACAGCTGTAATACATGGTGTATGTTTCATGACCAGAATACATTAGTATATTTTGAAACAGAATGTCAAAAGGCATTTAGTGGTGTGTTTACAAACATTTTTGTTTCTATTAAAATAAACTGTACGTGCATATTGTTTCCAGCCAGTCAGAACTTTAAATATCAACAGAGTTAGCTCAACACACGTTATTATCAACAACTACACCAGTGACACACTGCCTCTGTGGTGTAATGATTAGAGCGTCCGCCCTCAGAGCGTCAGGTGGCGGGTTCGATCCCCAACCGCGTCATACCAAAAGACGTTAAAATATGTTACTTGTTGTTCATTAATGGTTATGTAGCAGGTGTATATATTTGTGTATTTTAGTCTTATTTTTGTAAATAAATATATTTCAAGTTTTGTTTCTGTTGAACTTTATTCAACAGAGGTGTGTGTTTGTCATTCTAAGCCCAGGCCTCAGTGATCAATCACAACCCAAGCTCCACTACATTCTTTGTCCAGCCCTCTGCTGATCAATCACACCCCAAGCGATCCTGTGATTGGCCAAATTTAAACTTTACCTTCTTGCTCTGACTAACTCCATATTGCCATTTCACTATGCACTGCACTGGGAGTATTCACAGATCACCACAAAAGGTTAGTTTATAATTCATCTTTATTTCTAAATAGGATTAAATAGTAATCAAAGATTAGGCAT